TGATTAGAAGATTGAAATAATTATAATAATAAGCACTTGATGAGATGGTATATTTGAAAATAAAGAATTTTTAAATAAACTTTTATCAATTTTTTTCTGTCTTTTACTAATTTTTAGAAGAAAAGACTGACAAAAGAATGAGACAGAAGAAAACTAGAAATTTGAGACGGCAAAACTGTGAAAACTTTAATTTACCAAAAATTTTGCACTAACTGTTTTTTCCCTTGCAAATACATAAAAATTAGCTAATACAGCTTTTACCTTATTACGTAAAGTTCTTTATTTTATTTTACGAGTTTTACTTTAAAATTATGACCAGAAATAAATTTTTAAAACAGATTTTAAAGCAGATTTTACTTTCAGTAATATAGTAATTTTATCTGTAAAATGACGTAAAGATTCTCATGTGCGGAATGATTTTTACGACGCATCTCCTTCTTCTGCGCCGCGTCGCAGGTGACCTCCGATGGTGGCCGATGCGACGTGACCTTGAGAAAATGGCGAACCGGCCGTGATGCGATGCGGCAGGTCCGCACCTAAATACCAGATCGCTGAAGTGTGGAAAGAATTGCTTGCACGTGCTGCTCTGGGCGCGCCGCTCGAGTTTCTTCTCGCAATTCACGGAAGGTTGCGCAAGGCTAACAAGAGAGTTTTCGCTATATCCGCACCGGATGTTCCCGCCTCCGGGCACCGGTAACTTTCTTTTATCAAATCAAATCCCGTGTACTTTATGAATTTCTGTGGAGAATTTTCCCATAATTGGCCGAAAGTGAACGCATAGTTTGTTCCCTGCGAAACCCGACGTCGATTTTTTTCTAAAATTTTAAATAGTTTCAGAAGAGAGAGAGAAAAAGAGAGAGAAAATTAATTTTTCAATCTTTAAGACTACTTTTTTCCAAACTAAATCTTAGAAAAAACATTCTATTCTAGATGTCTGATTTAATTCTTAACGCAGCTCAACGGAGATTTGTACTATTTTGCAGTGGCAAGGACGTGTTTCCGAAAAATCGCAGCTCGCGTGATTCATGCCGACGCGAAATGATTTCACAAACGTTTCTCGAGATGTTACGTTGTATAATTGCAATATTACGGATTGAGTATTTATTTACGAAAAGTAACAGCGCAATTTACTTGAGAACGCGATGTTTCATGGATAAAGAAACGCATGATTCTACGGAATCTAGGACGCCCTAAATGACTCATTGTCAATATCCATATAGATAATTTTAATTTAAAAATAAACCTCGCTACACGCATGCTCTTACGAAATCTGCAATCAACGTAAATGGCTATATCGCTGTTTAACACTAATCGATCAGCGCAAATTGGGTCTCTTAAGGTTTTATCGTGCATCTTTTCCTATTTAGTTCAAGAAGCAAACTTTTACAGAAAAAGTCTAACACACTCGTTACATCAAATATTTTTCAAATTTAGATTAAAGTTGTATTCGCACTGTAGAATTGCATTATATATTTTTCACTCTAAAAAATTACAGTATACTCTAAAAATAAATTATAATTAGAATCGCTGGTATTAATTGTCTGCCAGGATTTGTCGTTTTGCAACACGAGTTGGCAAAATTTGTTGCCGAATCCGAAAACGTGAAGGACGCGTTTAGCCGGGATACGCACGGCGATCCTTTCCACCTGCGGATGTACCGGGTCGCCTTTCGCAAAAGACCATTATCTTCGCGACGGTCGACCTCGTCGCTGGTATCCGTAAACGACGGCGCGTCACGAAACTGGCGCATTAGATATTTACACATAAGCAAAGCGGGTTTTAATCGCTGGGAAGATCCACGCGGAACAATGGCATCTTCGCCAAGGATCTCATGCGATACGTTTTAAAGTAATCAAGTAAGTTCGTATCGCCGTGCGATAAATTAATCCGGGAACGATAATCTGAAAAATTAGCCACTTAAAATTTTATTAAATTAAAAATGAAATCACATCCATCCTTTTAATATCAAAATTGTGCTGAAAATATTTTTTTCATTAGATTTCATCCGATATTAAATCATTGAACAGAGTAATTGCTTAATTGAGAGGGAGAGCTTCTTGTCGATATTCACATACCTATTTTCGCTCTGAAATAAGCTGGTTTATACGCTCCACGAGGTTCGCGAGCAACTGCAAGCAACGTGGACGAATGTCTCTTGTTTTGCGTCGCTCTATATACGTGATTAGAAAACTCATTAGAGTCGAAGCGAGGGGTGGTATCGTTGTAGTGCGTTTTCACGTTGTGCAAACGCCGGGAGTTGATTAAGCCTTATCACGCAATGGTCGGAGATATATTTTCCTCCCGAAAAGAAGAGTCACCCATGAGAGTCGATCATGCCGGCGTCCCGCCGAGAGGGGCTCCCGGAGACGAGACGAGAAGCAGATCAGTCGGATCTCGATAAGAGCAACACGGTCGGGATGTGCGTGGTAATGGTGGAGTGCGTGGATCGCAACCCGAAGCTCGCGGCGAGGGAAGAAGAAGAAGAAGAAGAAGAAAAGGAGAACGAAACGGAGGAAAACGAAGAGAGGAAGGCGCAGGGTAAGAGAGAGCGAGCCAGCTCACCTTGGCGCTCATGGTATGCGCCCATTGGCGTCCTGCGCAAAGGCGTAGCGTTCCAGCGTGGTGGGCGATGACGTTCCGATAAGAAATCTCGGACCCGCGCCGGGAAAGAGAGAGAGAGACGGAGAGAAAATAGTCGCTGCGACAGCCTTTATGGACGTTTATATCCTCCGCGCCGTGTCGTATTGCTATGAGCGCATTTTATGCACGCCGCAAAACAATGCGGCGCGTAACCCCGTTATTACAGCCGTACGTATTTTGTCGTACGCCTTTTGCCGATCAAACGTTGATCTTACAAGCTCACTTGTTAGTATAACGATCTTACTTGTTAGTATAGAAATCGTCATTACGCTGGGTTTGAAAGAGGATGAACCCGTTTTTGAAACAGCTGGTTCAAGATGCAGTCATATGCCTTTTTCTATTAAATTAATTCTGCCGATGCAAGGTACTGATATAATGCAAAAACCCCGAAGAGATCCCTTTCTGAATCAACTTCTCTTCGTATGCTAGTTTTACAATATAAATATTATATTTTTTGGGTAAATTTTTATAAAGATTAGAGTGTCATTTATATTCTAGGTTCTATGCGTCTGTCTTGTTTTTCCTTAAATTCAGTTAACTTGAAAATTATGCCAGCCACTTGTGATATTAATAGCGGGATTCAGTCATTCAAGCCATGAATATGGAAAATAAAATGTTTGTTTGGTATGCTGACACATTGCTGAATTGCATATAGCGGGCACTCAATGAGCTACATAACATGTCAAACATTATATATTCGAGGTTACCGTGTGCATTGAGAGTGCAGAATAAAAAAATATAAAACAGAATGAAAAGTTTTCATTACTCGTTTAATTATTAATTTCATTAATTACGCATACGAACACAAGTAAGAAGCTAAAATAAAATGAAAGATTAACATTTCTAATTTTATTCAAAGTATTTCTGTCTTCTAATGTTGAATTTATTATTTTTCTTTTCCTGTTAGTGATTTTCCGATGAATGGAGAAGAAGAGAAGCGCTAAAACTAAAGTGGGGGGGAAAACTTACATCAAAATATCGTTGTTCGATTAATGTTACGCATAGAATTATGCGTGTTTGATCCTCCTGAAAAATTCTATGCAAGCAAATCGAGTTGTTTCGCGGTATCGCGCGCGCTTGCGATGCGAAAGTATGCGCGTCGTTTTACGGTAGGCATATCGATGCCCCTAGGCGCGCATCTGCATCGAGAAAACGTGGCCAGCGCGGTCGACGACGTACATGCACGATCCTAAATATTTCATTGAACTCGGCACGATTTAACCGGCGAGAAATACGTCGACACGCCGTCATAAATTTCGTTTCCCTCATTTTTAATTTCGTTCGTTTCGTCGATTTGCGAACACAACCTTCGAAATTGAGGCGTCGCCTCGATTGTGCATACTGGGCACGATTAGTCGCCTCATTGTGCATTACGTAATGCACGACAGGCGGAGGAGGAGAGAGGAAAAAGGGAATTGCCGACTAATCGCGTATGCATACGCGACCTGTGCGTGTGCGCGCGACGACACACGAGCGTCGATAAATAAATAAATGCGTAGGTGCGCGAATGTTGCGACTGGACGGCTTGAGGAATGCCGCGCCTATCGCCGGGAAAAATCCGGGACAGATCCTTGCACGTTGTTGTCGCGCGAATGGAAGAGAAAAGAAAAAAAGAGCCGTTCGGTTTGCATACTCGAGGTGTACAGCGCGCGATAAAGTTTGCGATAAATAATCGTGCATGATCGTTGGATCTCCAATGATTGGATGTTCACGATTTGCATTTTTTTTTTTTGGTTTCTTCTCTCCCAAAACACCATGTCGCGCATGTCGCATGTTATTACACCGAAGGAGTGTTCCTCCGAAAAATTCGAATGACACCTTTTGGAGAGATTAGACATTACTCGCGCGTAAAAAAAAATACCGGCTCGCACACTGCGCGCAACCATCCGATGCTGATGTATGCCTGGATACGGTTAGGTCGTGGATGAATGTCGGATATATAGCGGGACATGGGCGGTTTCGAAGAATGCGTTTCCTTCCTGTCGATACGCGGCTACGCCGTATACGGGCGCGAACACGCGCGATCGGAGATGCGCGTCCAAGCGGTCTATAACTAACGTGAAATGAGTCATGTCGTGCGATTACGATTCCATTCATGTGCCGCGATGAAGCCGGAACACCCCGCGAAGTTACGATGAGCGAAGTTCGCAGGATGCGGCGATGCGAAGCTTATGCAACGAGCGATAACCGCGATTTTTCATTTCGCAATACTAAAATTGTTTGCCGAATGTCCATTGCATTATGCATGAAAGAAAAAAATTGACTTTTTGAAAATAGAAATATACCGGAAGTGTTTCAGAAATATCGATTCACACCACTGTACGAGCTGCAATTCATTAATGATATATTTATTTCCGCAGGTAAGCACTTGGTGCTGATGACGGATCCCGAGATTGTCGAAGACGCGTACGCCTTTGACAATCCTTGCTTCAAGGATGCCACGCCTGCCGCTATTAGTCGCGTCACAGAGAGATCGTCGTCGACTGTACCCGGGGACACGCCTGCGAAGGATTCTACACGATGGTCCACGCCTTGGACATCCTTGGGTCTCGGGTCGGCTATCCGCAGCGATAAACGCCGTACCCTCGACGACTCCTGCGTCGGAGTGAGTAGCATTTAATTACTCGTTTCTTATTAGATAGTGCTGCTTCGTTTGATAAATGATGAATTATAATACGAAGCTGACAAAAGATTTGTCACATTCGTTGTGAATTATTGAAAATATTTTTTTTTGCAATTTTCTTTTATTCACCAAAAACAAGCGCATTCCGGTTATTTAATAAAATTTAAATTGATAACTAAAATTTTGTTTCCGCATGGTAATAAATTTCAGTAGATCCATACATTTTCTAAATGCAGCTTACATTTAATTGACCTTTCGGTCGTTGAGGAAACACGGCTGTATATTCTGCGCAAATACACATATACTGCATGATAGAGTGACATCTTGCCGTACTGTTATCTTTAATCGGCATTGTTCCTGCTGGACTGAGACAAGCTGTTGCGTCAGGTGGGCAATAAATACCTCGGTTAAAGTTAAAGAAATGTCGAACACGGATAACAACAGTCTTGTTTAGTCACGCGATACCAACTACGTGATAATTGCAGGATGAATGCAGGCGGTATGTAATATTTATAATTCTCTATGATCTAAGCTTAAAGTGCTTTTTCCGGTAAACAGAACTCTTAACAAGTTTGCAAATAGATGATAATACAAAATCACATTCTCCGTCTTTACATCCATCTGAATTATTAATCGCTCTCACATAAATCTTTAAATCGAGTCCATTCAAATATTTATTTTCGCGAAATAAATCGAGAAATAAAGCGAGGGAAAATTAAGGAATTAAGGATTAATCAAATAATCTCGCGTATCTTCGTCGTTGCGGAGTCTCGTTACTTGCGATTTCTACATTAATCAAATACCGCGCACACATGACGCAGCCGCGCGTAATGATATCGTCAATGACTCGTCTCTCGTAAGAATATGACGTATTGTATCTTCCGCTCGTGCGCGTCCACTTGTCTCCGGCTTATTAGCTTGTCATCGGCGAGGTTCCCGTTCATTGATCGTCGCACCGACGATACCGGATCGCAATTTAACAGCGCGCCGATGCGAATCCACGCACGTACAGCGTGCACGACCCACACGCAATAACGCGGCTCCCGCGGAGCAAGTATTTTCATCACCCGTGTAACAATCGGCCCCGGCCGTTTTGTTGTGCAGCCCAAGGCCACCCGGGTCAGCGTGGTCAGTCTGCGTAGCCGTGACTTCACCGGTCTCGGCTTTAACGTGTGCGGTAACATGAGGGAGGGCATCTTCGTCAAGGACCTGCTGCACCGCGGCCCCGCATCCGAGTCCGGACGGATACACCCTGGTGAGTATTGTCGGTTGAATCGCTTCTGCAATTCACGGCTATTCGTGCGCGATCAATGGATTATACAATTTTACTTCATTGTCAGAGATTGCGATTCATTCGCGATAAGCTTTCATCTTTTTTTTTCAGAAATTTTCAAAATTTTCTTCATTTTTTTTTATTTATCACCAATCTTCTCTCGCGAATCGATTTTCACACTCAATCTTGTTGTCATTGTACACGACGGCGAAGCGGGAATTTTCTCCTCGCTCGCTGCATCAAGATTGAAACGTAACACAATTTCTGCCGAGAAACAGCGATTGCATCGCTATGATTAAGCGGACGAATTATAATTCAATGCCTCAATTAACGTGAATGTGTCTCCCGACGAGAACCGTCCGCGGATCTGAGAATCACCCACATACCTACATTTCGCAGTGAAAGCACTGTTACCGCCGCGTTCAAGCATTTGATAATGCGTGTCGTGAGACGATTAAGATGCAGCATTAAGTCTTCATTAAGTGCATTTGCCGGCGTAAGTGGAGTGCGCGAAACGCCGCAACTGCAATAATATCGATGGCCCAGTTTGGCAAAAGGCAGCGGCTTAACAAATTTCAATCGCGCGAGCTGAAAGCATAATTTACGCCTGAAAGAGACAACCTTTATCCGCGCAATTACGCGCGTATCATCCAATTGCACAATTAATTTTCTATTCACGCGCGATGTTGCGAGTAATAGAGACTTGGATTTTTATTTTTTCCAGCGATTTGAGAATTCCACGTAGAATTTATATTTTGTTCGATGCGTTTGGCTTTCTTTTCGCGCGGCTTTTACCAAGCAACTCGGCTCATTCCTTTTCTCATTGCAGGCGATCGCATCTTCAGCGTGAAAATCAGCTTCCGCAACATGGTGTACGAGGACGCGCTGACGATTCTGAGCTACGCCTCGCCGTACGACGTGGAGCTGGAGGTGGAGAACGGCGGCAGCGGCTCAAAGCCGACGACGTTGCTGAAGAAGAGCGTCGGCCCGAGTCCGATGAGGATCTGCCATCCGCTCTACAGGAGCCAGTCGATTCCGGAGATGTCGAAAGCTCACACGAGCGTTGCAAAGCGGCTCTTCATAGCCGACCCGAATGAGTCCGTAAGCTCCAACTATTCGCCGATGAACTCGACCGTCAAGTCCGCGAAATCAACGCCGGGAAGCGGGCAGAGCCTCGAAAGGCATCACGAGGAGACGAAGAACAATCATCATAAATTCGGCATCAAAGTGCTGCCGGCACTGGACGGCACCGTGCATCGCATCGAGAATCAGAACGAGCATAACACGAACCTGGAGAGAAGGCACTCGCGCAAGATGGACGCGGAGAAGCTGACGAACAGACAATCCACAACGTCAGGAGAGGCTGCGGGCGACGATAGAAAGCTCAGTAGTGAGCGTCTTCAGCAACGCTCGGACTCGAGAATCGCCGATGTGCGCAGCATCGACACGCCGGATAAAGGCGGCAAGAGCGCCGATGGTGGGCTCAATATACCGTCAGAGATGCCGACGGAAGTGCACAACGCAGCCATGGCGGCTCGTAGAAACAGGAAGAGTAGCTCGGAGCCGCTGAAGGATGCGCAGAAAATCAGCTCGTCGGAGTCGGAAGGCGCCAAGAGTCCGCAGAAGAACAAGCGGAAGGCGCCGGCACCGCCGAAGAGCAGCAACGAGACCGCCGCATCGCCGGCGAAGAGGGACGCCATCGATACCATCGACAGCATCGCCGACTACACGGAATCACTGTGCGATTACGTGAATAAGACGCGTGAGAACACGGACGCCGCCGCGGACGCCCGCAGGCAACGTCTGGAGAGTCAATCGATGGTGAAGAGACGGAATTCCGAGTCGGACACCGATAGCGAGATGCAGAATAGCTTTACGACGATCGAGCTGAACCCGGCGGACATCACGATTCACCGCACGCCGGTGCCGGAGGCAAATGACGACAACGAGGACGAGGACGACATGTACAGGAAGGCGGCCAGCCTGGGTGATCTGTCTAAGTACGAAAACAAGACCGCGACAACGCTGGAGCGAGCGCAGAGCCTCGACATGAGCGCCGAGAGCGGCGCGAAGAAGCGCAAGGCGCCGTTGCCGCCTGAGGACATTAACGAATCCACGGAGGACCTCACGAAGCTCGATCAGATCGACACGTTCGACCGACGGAAGTTGAAGAAATCGAACGAGTGGGGTACTCTGGAAGATGTGATTTGGAGCGAGGCTGCTGCCGAGGCGGACGGAAAGGCGCGCGGCAAGGCGCGTACGAGAAAGAAGAGCAATGGCACCCTCGAGCGATCCAAGTCCGCGGTGGAAATTAAGCTGAAGGATGAAGTTACCGTAGCGACGGTAGTGGATGATACATCCGAGAAGAAGAAACCCGATGATGACTCGGATCACGATACCATTAGTATCGAGTTGTACAATCTGCCGTTGAGCAAGCGACTGACTCAGGAGTTTATTCACACCGAACGGATGTTCAATCCGGACGAGGACAATTCTCTAGCTAGAATCGTGAACGATGGCCAGGTGGTGAAGAGCCCAACCCCAGAGGAAGTGGAGCTCAACTTCCAGCTGGCTGACAAGAAACGCTCCTCCGAGGAAAGTAAGCACGAGAAAGAAAACGGAAGTGATGCGGAGAATCTCGCACCGGAGAAATCGGAGGACTTTAGTCGCGCGTTGCGCTACTTCGAGTTGCACGCCAACGCGTCGCCGACGTCCGCAGAACCGACGACGAAGGTCAATCTGACGCAGTTGGAGGAATGGAAGGAAGAAAAAGCGCCCGTTAACGATGCATCGCTGTATGTCGGCCGGCAGCCGGTCGTGGAGGAACCCATCTCGAAGGTGACAATAGACAGAGGTTGTCGCTACTGCGACGACAAATGCAACCGACATAGCGCCGAATGTGAACACGGGAAGCACGTCGATAGGTCGACGCACACGCATCGCGCGACCGCGCGATCCTTGTCCGAAGACAGCAAAACGACGAACGAGAGAGAAACGGAGCGGACGTCCACGCCGACGCATCTGCGAATTCACGCGTCCAAGTCGGAGCCGGATAGATACAACAAATCCCAGGATCTTGGAGAAGAAAATGCGGAGAGAAAGAACGGCGGCAGCTTCTCGACGTTCCTCGCGCACCGGACGAAATTCGAGCAGCGAGGGACGGATCAACCGCACGATAGGTACTCGCCGAGCAAGCCTAAGTCGCCGACCGACTCCTCGTACGCCGATATGCACTTTGCCAGACGCGTCATCAACGTCTCCGGACACGACGAGGACGACGAGGAGGAGGACGAATACGAGTTCGGCGTGACGGCCAACAGCCGCAAGAGTCCATGCTCGCCAAAAGAGGATCGTCACAACATTAGCAGCGTCAGCGTGTCGAGCGGCGAAAATAGTGAGGACAGCGGTCTGGTCCGGGAATCGATGGACTACAACAATTCACAGGACTCAGAGAGCCGTCCACCGTTGCCCAACACGCCCATGCCGAACGCTACCCAGAAGATGACTTACATCACGGAGATCAAGGTGTCGTCCAACAAGGAGGGTGGTATTCGCGAGGTCGGCAGCGAAAACGATGAGCTGACGATCGAGAGCAACGGCGAGCCACGAAAGCCGGTGCAGCACGAGATCAAAGTAACGTCGAACGGCAAACCGACGTCCGGCAAGAAGCCGCCGGTACCGCCGAGGCGATCGGACATCGCTAAGAGCCCGAAAGAAGATCGGACGGACAAGCAAGTCGTTTACGTGTCCGAGTACAAGTCCACGACGGGCAAAGGCGCGCAGATCCTGGACGCAAACCCATCAGAGATCAAGCAGTCGGAGAACAAAAAGTTCGAGCATTGGATCTTTATGGCCGATAAAGAGCAGAATCGCTGGAGTCCTGCTTCTGGTCAACCGCAGCCCGTAACGAACATCGTATTGTCGTCTCGAGAGGAGACGAATTAAAATATCGATCTTCGATTCCCTTGTTACACGCGATAACATGGATGCGAGCAGAAATAATCAATAATCTATCATTCAGTTTCGAAAAGATAGTACATTAAAAAAAAAAAGGCTGGAAATGAGATTTCTTAATATACAATGTTATGAAGACGAATTACGATTAAGGCTAATGAATGTTGAGTACTTTGAAAAATAACAATATATTGGAATGATGTTCTTTCTAAAATAACTGATTTAATTAAAATTTTCAAATGAAAAGAAGTTTAAGTGTTGCATCAATATATTTTTGAGATAATATCTGTTTCAGGTAGGTAATATTTTTGCATGTAACGTATATTTTTTTGGCAATTAACTTCCTTTCCTTTTTGTATTGTTTGGCACATAATTCCGTTTTTATTTCCCGTTTTCAATTCAATTTGACCTGAATAAACTAGATGGCAAGTGAGAACATTAGTGGAAAAGAGAAAATATGATTAACTTTATGTCACGTATGTTAATGCATTTTTTAAATGTTACATGCTTCATATACAAGATCGAGTATACATATATATATAAAATATTTATACATATAATATTACTGAGATAGATCCATTTAGGAACTCATGCATTCTGACCTCAATCCTTGTATTCTGGAATTGATCCTAGCAAAAATAATGTAAAAGATTAGGGAAAGATGCGCGTCACACATAGACATACGAAACGATCAATAAAGTGCTAAGAAACTACGTGCCATAAAGAATAATTATGATAAAAGAGGATTACTTAAAGTATAGAAATAAATGGATATAAGATTGCGGATTTGTTTTGTATGTCCGATCCAATCGATCGTCGTATGATCGGGCAATAGTTGCAATTCCGAAAATTATACCCAGCAAACACTAATCAATAGTAACATAACATCAATGTTATAATTTCCCAACTACAATATAACATGTCTTGTACGTAATTATTACATTGTTGGTTAATGTTTGCTGGATGTATTCCTTTCTGTAATTGTATCAGATGTAAATATAGGCCAGTGTTTTAAGCATGTCTGCTAGACGAAATTTAGCATATTTTAAAGGTAATGTATTTTTTATTAAGAAGACTTTTATTTTTTTCAGTTTAAATCAAAATGTTATTTAACAGAATCATTTCAGGACTTCCTAACTGAAATGTTATAAGGAGACAATACGCAATTTACTTGAAACTTGACAATAACTTTGTTCATCACATATTCAATATCTACGATTACAGTATTTTCTTCTGTCATTTTTCAATTATCCGTATTTTTATCGTATATCTAATGCTAAATGTGGTTATCTTCAAAATGAGATGATCACATTTAACGCCAAATATGCAGTAAAGATACAGCGCTATATTTTTAACTCATAAATATTTTTGGCTATTCCATGAAATGATGAAGGAATACAATTACTTATTATTTTACTATATGCAGTCTGAATATCTCGCTTTACTTAAATAGAAGTATTTGATAGACCGATACGTCCATTAAGAAATGCAATTATTTTTGTTCTTAAGATCTGTAATCAAATAAGTTCTGTAATCAAATAATACACTGTGTAATAACACGTCGTGTATATTTAGCATGTAAGTGAAGTAATTTGTAAATTTGGGATTATTGAATTTGTTTATTAATTTACTAACATCCGACTGTAGTTCGTAAAACTTATATCTAATTTTGCACGCGTACTATACGAATATTATCCGTAGAAAATACACAAAGAATAAATGTAGTTAATAAAAGTTTTATGTATAATTACGCTATTCGCTTTACACTGATGCTCAAACATATTAACTTTGCAAAGATATATGCAGAAATATGATCGTGTTTCCAATTGTGTATTAGAATGTTGCTTTTACAGTATTGTTTCGTTTCTTTTTATTGTTTCCTAGTATTTTTGATAAAGCAACAGAAATTTGAAATTACTATGAACTCCACGTATTTGCCGCAATCAATATGCTGTGTAAATGTTTCCCCACGTATGGATGGATCACATTATTGAACACGAGTATTATAAAATGTTATTGTTAACTGCAAGTCAATCATTGAGTCCTTCTATGTATGTTTACTGTAATATAATTTATTTCAGAATTAATGTGTTGGTGACATACATAATTGTCTATAATTGTGTTAGTAAAGAATGTATAAATTTTTAACGAATAAAAATGTATATTTTTAGACATAAATTTCGCTACTAGAAGAATATATTTTTTTATGTGATATAAGTATACTTTCGTAAAAATTATAATTATATTTGTTCATTATTGTATTTTAATATAAATTTTAAAATTTGATTACACTGATAAAAGTTCATACCAAATAATTTCACATTATATGCTGGTAAAAGAAAAATATACATTGTCTCAATAAAGATGAGATATACTTTGTGTGAAAGAGGACTGGAAATATAGATTGACAAGAGCAAACAAGCTAACTCTTAATTTTACAAATTAATGTTTGTACTGTAAGAATTGTTATTAATATTGCGGTTATATAGTATTAGGTATTGCCTTGTTGTATATACCACTTGCATTCATGATAAGAATCTTTATTATACTTGCTTGTACAAATATCTCACAAAGGAAATTACTATAAGAATATATGAATATATATATGATATGTAACCACACATATTTGTGAAATATATATATACGTATGTACACATTATTTTAAATTTTTATGCTTATATTTCTTAATTATTATCTTATTTATAAACTCATTTACATATATATACATTTACATAAACTGAATGATCATATTAGTTTTTTAAAAGAAACTTTCATTTATACAACTGTGTCAAAATATATCTCCTTATTTATTTTTATAACTAAATTTTCAAATATCAATTCAAATAAACTAAATATATAATCTACCCCGCATGGATACATCTAAATAATTTAATGAAAAAATGATTTAACAAGTAAATTAAATAACATTTTGTGCGTCAATATTGTTTGTTGTAAATAATTACAAAATATTATTACATCTGATTATTATTATATGTTATTTGATAATTTATCTGGAAATTTAAATATTTATCAAACTTATATTTTGAAATGTATAATGTGTGCTTACATGATATATTATTACGCTTAAACGTATATGTAAGAATTATTCAAAATTAAGTAGCAGACTGTTTATAATTCTTTGTACTCATCAGTTTCTTTCCACACATAGCACATATGGCTTTCTTATATGCACAAGATTGACAGTAATGAGATCCAACTTGATGAACTTTTTGCCTGCATATCCTGCAGCATTCAAATTTTGTGGTATATGGATTGAATCGTGCTTTTCCTGCAGAAAGAGCCTTGTTTTCTCCCACCTTACGCCCTCCACTCTCCACTGTGTTTCTTGCACCTGTTTTCCAAGGATCTGGAGTAATGACTTTGCCCAATTTCTTTTCGCACTTCTCGCAAACCATGTTGAGGTGTTTTATTAAAAAAAAATCTGCTAGAAACAAATATTTATATGAAAATAAGAATATGTCAAATCATTAGTTAAAAATTATTATTTTTATATAATAAGACGTAATTATGTTATTATACCTTGAACTTCTGTGTTGCAATCTTTTGTCAAATTTCTTTCTTATTTGTTCAGTACTTATATATTCATATATATTGTTGTTAATTCTTTCAGCACAATATTAAATCCTTCTGGTATTAAAAGTCTTCAAATTTAAACACAATCACAAGAAGATAAGAATTTGCAACTGAGGAGGTTAGAAAAACAATAATCTCTAGTAATAATTTTTTCCCGACTCGCTTTAAATACTATCAACATACTAATGCTTATACTTCTAAACAACTTCTCAATAATAACTTTTGATTAGTCGACAACTATTTTGTCCAATGTCTCTATTGGTTTAATAGCTTTATCGTTACATTAGAAGAAACATTAAACGCTATCTAGCGACGATGCGTCGCATCTTAACATTGCAGTATTAATGTTTTACTGCTAGATGACGTCAGTACCAACTTTTGTCGAAATATGAAAACATAACCTTTTGTACATTTTTTATATAACATAATAGTACACAATTTTTTATGAAAAAATAAAAATTTGCTGTACCAAAGGAATGAAAAATGTCTCAAATATGTAGCGTAAGTAATGTAAATTTTATATTACATATATAATAATATATGAAGAATATGTATATAATTAAATACATTACATATATATAATTATCTTACTATTTTATTATGAACAAAAAACTCTATAACTCTTTTTCATTTTTAAAACATTTTATGTTATGAAAGATTTTTATTAAAATGCTAAATACTTATTACGACTATCTTTTTATTACGCTTTATTTATTTGGATATTTCATTTATTATAACTCGATTATAACCGCGAGGTTATTATTGAGAAATTATATTATTCGTGAATTAGGGAGAAAACGTAATTTACGACGTGAGTGACTGCAATTTCGGAAATGTTATCTCGTCACCAATTATCGATTTTTGCCGCAAGTGCAGTGTCCGCGGTACTAATTTATTTTTACTGAAAATATACTCGCAGCGCATAGAAACCAATGTTATTTCTGTCATTACAGCGTCTCCCTCGTTACATCGAAAATTGGAGTTGCTAATGAAACGGGTATAAATTCGTTTGGCAAATACAAAAGAATGCGTTTTAGCATAATCTTTTCTACTATTATTCCGGAAATTGCAGTAAAAACTTTGTTATAAATATAATGCAAAAAAGAAAGATTTGTACATAAAAGAAACTATAAGTGAAAATATAAATTAAAAATATATAATATGAACAAGCATTATAGAGTTTGCATATGCAAAAATAGGTGGTACATTTATAATATGTATATATAAATTTTATTTATACTTTTTCTTTTTAAGTTGCTAGAACTATTATTTTTACGAACGGATGTTATGTATACCAACATAACGTGAAAATATGATAATCAATATCATATAAAAGTATATGGAAGAGCTTGAAAAATAATCTAGGAAGTGGATACGCATACTCAACTACCCGTATGTGGTACAAATTTTATTATGATATTACGTGTCCCGCGCGACGTGCTTCGTTATTGAACAGCGATGGAGTAACACATCTCGAGCTATCATATATGCATCCAATCACTGTCATTTAACAGCTTGTGGACAATAGCGATCTTTTTAAATAGATAGATGCGAATTTTAAAGAAAAGCGAAATGCAAAACTGTGTAAGTGATAACATCGATAATCTTCTAATATTAGATTTGCGTAAATCTGGGTTATATTATTTCTCTTGCTTATCTATTTCGGAAACGGATATATCTCATACTGTGTAATTTTTAGATGCGAAATCCATTGAACAAAATCATTATCTTTATACGTTTATTTTAATGGTAAATGATTGCGACACAGAAATTGAAAAATTTAGAAAGTATGCAACGCAATATGGGGTTAAACAGCATGTGAAGCCAGCAGATTCGTGAATTTCGATCATTATTATTTATTTGGTAAGTGATTTTTCATGCTTGATATCAACTAGACAATTTTCGCAAAAAGAATTACGCCATATGGCCGGTTGCATAAATTTCTCTCGGCGCCCATGGAAGAAATCGGGGACGGTGTCGAGCACCCTCCTCGCGAACGGCGATAGCGCGGGTTGAGAAACCCGAGGGGCGAGCGGGCGGGTAATGCATAGTACTAGTAACGGGGTAAAGGTGGTGCGATGGTGGTTTTGGCGATAGGTGGTGGCGCGCGAGTGTGAGCGCCATCTAGCCGTTCAGTGCCCGGCCACCCTCGGTACGATCTGTGTGACTCGCGCTCGCGCTTCCGGATTATCGCGGCTAGTTTTGCGGGCCCCGAGGATTGCGGACGCAAGTGCACCGTGCCTTAATACAGTGACCAGTGTATGCCTTGAACGCGCAACGCGATAACAAAAGGTAATTATCACCAGCGACGAGCGTCGAGAGCAGCGAGGAACGAACGTCAAGTATAAAGGGAAGTGTCGGTGGTGACGGTGGTGGCGGTGGAGGCGGCGTAAAGAGAAGGAAGGTGGAGCGCGAGCGAGGTGGCGACGACGGCGTCGCGGTCGGTGGTTATAGAACAACGTCGCGTTAAAGGAAACGCTCCGGACGTTCGTCGTGATGCCAAGGCGAGACGCACGCGAGTCCGCGGATCGATCCGCCCGCCTGCCACCCCGACACCGCGATACCACGTCGTGCAACCTGCACGAGAGAAAACCGCGATCGCGCGGGGGCGAGAAAAATACGAAGCGTCGCCCCGAGAAAGTATGCAAACGTCTGCTCTCGAGACTGTCTCCCTCACTTCCGTGGGCAAGATTCCTTGCCCGAGATATCGTAGACACGATAACGCGACGACGACGACGCACGTTGTCGATTCGCCTGCGAACCAATCTTGGAGATTCGCACGAGGGAGGCCGCGAGATACATCAAAGCGCGGCGATGACGACGCGCGTCGCAGATTGCCCGCAGAGGCCAATCCTCGACGACGTCCTCGCACGCCTTCCGCGCGTCCGATTGATCGTCGGGAATCACCCCGACGGCCGCGTCGCGGCGCGGCGAGGGACACGAGGTCGCGCGCGTCATCGCCGTTCCGTTCTGCGTGATTAACGGTTAGGTAGTATGCGTGTGTGTCTTCGGACGACGACAGTCATGCGGTCATATTTTGGCAGGTCCGATGCGAGGTAGCGTCTGAATACGCATCAGATACGCGCGTCGAATATGCGAATGCTTGAATGTGGTTACCCTCTCTTACCCTTCGGGATGCATGCGCATGTGTCGTCGGATTCTGTACGAATGCGTCAGAGAAGAGCGAGCAGCGACTCGCAGCGAGTTTGAATCTTTGCGAAATTCGATCGTTCCTTATAATTCTCTCCCGCGTCCGCTTTCCGGAATGTAGACGAACGTGACGAGACTCGTATCGAAGCGATTCGAGAATTCGACGGCGCGGTCAGTAATTATCGCAATTTTTTTCTCAATTTTTTCTTACGCGATAATACACGTCCATGTTTTCAGGCTAAAATAGTTTTACACCGGATACGATCGATGTGACTTGGATTTGACAGCTTCCATCTGATATTTGAGACCGGCACGAGGTTGCGTTCGAACACACGTTTATTACAATGTCGAATTTGTTGTACGAGGCCAGCAATGGAGCGAGTCAGATGGCGAGTTATTTGTTTTAGTTTGCGGCTAAAAGATAAATGAGAAGGTAAGCGAATAATTTGCCGCTAATTATACGTCTCTTGTTTTTGTTTCAAACGAACATCGCATCGGAAATACGAATTAAAAACCGAGTGAATGAAAGGAATTTTGTACATTTCTTTCGATAAATTACAATGAAGGTAACGCTTTGCGCTTGATTTGCCTTTTCCACTAACTTTGTGTGTTTTCAGCTTGATGTTAAATTTTTCTCACACAGAATCAATAGGAAGAAAACTTTGAGAATAATAGGATGTTTGTTTTTCTTACTTAACAAAAGCATTTAATGCAAAAAGCTGAGCAAGGAACTTGCAACACGTCTCGTTTGTTCGGCTCTATAAATTCTGACTTGTTAATCCGATATCGCAACTTTTTGAAGAGATATACGAAGCTGGCTCGAGAAAGCAAGTCAAGTAGCGCGCGTTTATCTTTTCTGTCTCTTTATCAAGCGAGATAACAAAGTTACTCGCTGTCTGCCTTCCTATCGGTTTTGTGTAAACGCGACATTAAGTTGAATATACACAAGGCTGGCGGAGAAACAAGTCAAGCGTTTTCCTCCTCGATTAGCTGTTCCACCAATCTTTCGCGAATGAGACAGGTAAAGCACTCGTTACTCGACTTGTCCACCTACTGGCTTTGCGTAAAGTCGACTTTATGTTGAATACACTGGAAGTTGATAGAGAAACAAGTCAAGTAGCGTTTTACTCGGTTATTTATTCAGCCGATCTCTCTTTCTCCCTCTCTTTTTTTTCTTTCTTTCTATCGAGTGACAAGCGAGTCACTCAATCTATCCTTTTCCGCTATTGGCCTTCCGTAAACGTAAAACGTAGAAACGCTTTCCGGTGATGGTTCGTGCGTCCTGCCGTTCATTGGATGCTCGGTGCGAATGCAAATACATAACGCACACGTATAGACGAAGATAGAGATACGTATCATATATATAGTGTATATATATATATATATATATATATATATATATACTATATATATATGTATATATATATATTGTATACGTACACGCATACGGACGGCCGATCGATTTTGCGTTCCCGATTCCGCGGCGCCCGCGACATGCAACGATCGGCGATGGGCCGAGCGTACACACTTACACGGGGGATTCACGCGGGTTTTCTGTGTCGTTTCTCACATAGGTCTCACGTCGAGCGCACGTCGACGAGCGTCTGCGATAGCACCGCGATGCGATCGTTCCTAGCTATAGATACGAGCGACGAATGAATCGCTCGCCGCGACTCCGCGACTCTGCGATCGGACAGCCGGAACGTTGAAGATAGGTATGTAGCAGTACTTGAAACTCTTTAACGCTGTGTCTCGCTTTATCTTCTGCCCGATAGCGTTCTCGATCCGAATCGTATCGGCAGCAGTAAGATCGGTTGTCGAGAGAAAATCGGATTAACGCACGAATATGGATCTTGCACAAGAATATCGTTTAGAGTTTGGTGTTTGTTTTTGTTGATTTAACTTTCAGAACTCAATTGTTTAATGTTCTGTTATAATTAAATTGTTTATTAATGCGATATTTAAATGTGCAATATTTTATTTAACATTAAATACATGTTTATCGAAAATTTAATCTCACAATTTTGATCACTTAAAAATCTTTTAATTTCACAAGTGATTGATTTTATTTTATACATGAATATGTGTTCCAAATTATTTACGTAACGTGGAAATGTCTTTGAATCTGAGTTGAATTGCAAATTATATATAAAATGCAGTAGATGAATTAAAATAAAATAACAGATTAAAAATATATCTAGCATGTGTAATCGTGAACATGTTGATGAAGACTTGATATTATTGCTGTCGGAGCGGATTGCTCGAATCAAGAACGCTATAACTCTTCTTCTTTATCTCTCACTAACATTCCCAACTCCCCTTTTTTTCTTTCAAACGCACGCTAATCTTTCCAAAGTACACACGACACCGTATATATCGTACCCGTGCACAGTTTATTGACCGTCTAATTTTAACAGATACAAAAAAACCAAGGCAAACATCCTCTACTATGACAATCGAGTTTGATTAATGCTTTGAGGCACGCAACTTTTAGCAATCTTTCACACAAAGGAGGCAGATTGCTAGATGAGGCTTCGAAGCTTTATATGAGGAATAAAGTAGCATTTTTATATCCAGCATTCTGGAAGTTCTCAAATAATTATAGTTCTATATAAAGCACATAATATTAAGTTTTGTTAGCTTTCGCATAGATCCGCCCTTGATTTAATCGCCTGGACTGTTTAGCTGCATTTCTACTCACTACTGGGCTAGAGATATGCACAATGAGGGTTTAACTTTAGAGAGCAGTTCTCGCAAAATAAAATTCACAAATGTTGCGTTTACCGGTGAGTTTCAGTTTCTAGAACAAAATCCACCGGTGAGATTAACGAAAAAATTTCAAGTTACCGGCGAATAAAATCCTCCTGCGAGACAGACCGTTAACAATAGCCACGGAAAATCTCCAAGGCTTCGAGTTCAAAAAATTCTATATAACAATCGTGATGAGATATAATTTTTGCAATAAATATAATAGAGTAGGATATGTAACGAATATAATTGTTAAATTGTTATAATAGAATTCGATCTAAAAAATTTTTAACTGCATTTTGAAGTAAAATCGTTCATTGGAAAGTAGTAGAAAGAGATAGAGATAGAGAGAGAGAGAGTGGGAGACTCATAGTTTTAAAACACCGATCACCGATTTTTGGAATATTCGATATTCGCTATCTACCGGCATGACTTCCTGTCGATTCCCTTCGACATACTTGTTTTTCGCGGTGTGTTGCCGACAGGTGCTCGTGGAATATCAGACCGTCCGTGAATTTTCGAGTAACTCCAGTGGCGATATATATATATACACATACGTATATATATATATATATATATCGTCGCTATCGTAACGGCGCGTTCACCTCTCCCAGACGAGTCGTATGTCTCTAATCTCGTCGATCTTAACGCGCGCGCGAAAAAGGGGCTCGATCTTAACGTCGCTTCGAGCGCTCGTTCTTTTATCTCCGTAGAGCAATCCGTATTTTAGAATCGAGTAAAATAAATGGTCACCGCGCGAGCTCCCACCCCGTCGCTCATGTCCTTTTCCTCGGGTCTTAACGCCCGTGAATTCTTTCCATTAATTCTTTACCGCACGTAAGAACTCGCAAGACATGAAATAGCAGTAAATCCGTGAGGGAGAAAAGAAACCCCCGTGTCGCGTGACAGCTGGCTCCTTGCAGCGTAATAACATTCTGTCCCGTAAGTCTTGCAACAATGTTATTACATATTTCAATGCACTTACTCCGGCAGCAGACTCCAATGCAGACAATCTTACTGTCGCTACGTACGCGATCTCTCTATCGATGTCGAGAAAAGAGGTGGCACACACGTGGCATACACGCTATTGTACTATTTTACCATTCCACCGTGCTGGAAAACGGCCGAACTTTAGCCATTACGATTAACTTTAATCGTTTTCTATTTCGAAAGTATTATAGCCTCGACGTTTCAGTAACAGTAAAGTGCTATTCTTCTTTGAGAAATACCGTTATTTCAGGAATGTATCACTGTTGATAACAAATTATACAAATAAATACGAATTAAAGTACAGAATATGAAGAATACAATTTGTGCGATACTCGTGACGCGCACATGCTGTGAACGTTTATTTCGAGAGCTTTAAAAGAAAGGAGGACTGAGGGGATTGAGCTATCGTAAAAATTTCGCCTTTCTAGTTTGACCCCGACCTGGTTCGAAATGGCGGGCAAGTATCGCGGAGCACTCTCTGCATCTAGTTTGCATCGGCTTTGCATTTCTTCGCGGGAAAACATCGTTAGAAGCGTGTCTTGCTAAAAGGCAGAGAGAGAGAGGGAGATTGGGCTTCGCTCTGTACGTTACCGCTAAAAATACGCGATGGTGGTCGGACAGGGCCGTTGGGGGATGAAGCTAGGGCGGCGTCGCGCGCGCTGTATCGCTCTACTAAAGGGGATGCTGCATGCATCGGGCATTGTCAATAACACCGCCAAGATGCGATGGGCTGACAATACGTTGTGACACGCGCGTAGAAACGTCCATGAGATATTTAATCAGACCGGAAATCACCTACGCGACATAGATATTGAATGGATGTAACAATAGCAATAATGAACCGGAAAGAATTGAGAGACGAGTGATTATTTTGAAGGAAACTTGTTTTCGAAAGACTTGTTAATATCTTGATAAGTAAAAATCTGTAAATCGCAAAATTAGAAGAAGTATTTTTCTATTCATATATCAAAGATTCTTCTTTCATATTTTACATGTTAAAATTTTTAATATTTTCTCAATTTTATATAATTTAGTCAAGTTTATACATATATCTGCAACATAGTTTCTCATCTTGCTTGGTGCCTGAATTCGGCGTCGCTTTAAACGCGAGAATCACAATTCCGCGGAAAAATACTCTCGGGTGAATTAATCGCGTCGTTAATACCTTACCTTTTGTTTCAACGAGTTTATTCACGTGCTTTTCCACTCGCTGGACATAAATAATCGTCCACTGCGAGTTTTCATTGTACGGAGATTATGAGACACATGCACGAGCAGAATTGTAACTGTAATATAAAACTAGCATAATTTTCGTACAGTAAATTTAGTTTTCGACACTGCAGATACGAAAAAATGTATCGTCGCGTTTCGGTCGCCAACAATAAGCACAAAAAAATTGGCGTGTTGCATAGGACAAAAATGTGAATTTGAAATTATGCATTTACATATCTTCGATCTAGAAAAAACCAAGCGACACAAAAAATATGTCATCTTTTAAATTATCTCGAAAATAGCTGGATAAAAGACGCCAGAAATCACTGTAACAAAAAATTGCTTAATACATTTATTCCGTTGCTTAGTATTTTTTTTCTTTTTTTAAAAAATAAAACAAATTCACATTTGTAATGTTCTCGAATTAAGAGCGATTTTTACAAATAATCTGAAAACTTTGAATAAATTTTTGGATTAAAATTGTCTAGATATATCTTTTTCTAAACACGTGTAACTAGGATTTTTAAGAATTTTAGCTGTATTATGTCTACGGTTTTTTTTACCAAACTGTATTATCTTCTAAATAAAAGGAACAGCTGACGCGGCGGACGGCCAAGTGATTAAAATCCTTCGGCTTTTTATTTCGATGCTCGAGGTATTTCCGCTCGCCGGAGCGTAAACGCAAAATGAGAATAGGGCTAAGGGGATGTCTCGTCTTTTCCCCGCAATTCGTAGATGTGAATCATCAGCCTCGTATCGATGTTCGATATAGTCAGGGACGTATTAACACGTACAAACTACATCGACCGTAATTGCGAACGTAACAGGGAGGATAGTGGAATTGTGCGATTAGCAAATTGATAGATAAAAATAATCTAGAGAACGTAAAAAGGTCCGAATTTTATGACAATTGAGAACCGGACTGACTGCGCTAATGCAAAATTCGTAGGTGTGACATTAATATAATTGAATAAAATTGATTGGAGAGGAATAACTCGCGCCGCTCTCTTCACATTTTCGATTAATGCAGGAACTTAATTCAGAATCCATTATATCCATTTCATAAATGTGAAATTTCAAAATACGGTTCCGCCACTGAGTTACATAAAATTTAAATTCACGCAGTCATTAACAACACGAGTGTGTACAGAATCATTACTGAAATATCGGCTGTCCATACGAATTTATCGTGTTTAAAGTGTAGCAGAATTATCCAAAGGGTAAAAAATTTCATTTTATCTCGGGATCCAAATCTCAAATCGTTATGTCCGCGTAATGAAGGAAACTACGGAGGAAGGATCGACAGAAAAATCGCTGTATTTGCGTGATAATTAGGTGACAAGAAGTTGGTTTGATAACGCGTCGACGTGAACACGGGCTGAAATCTAGCGCGACATTCGGTCGCTAAAAATAGGAAGCGCTTACCCGTCCATTGAGATTCCGGATCGATCGATCGCCGTTGGCGCATCCTGCCGTGTAACATCGACGAGTAACCGACATTTACATCGTTTGAATTTCGTTTTTCCAAAGAGACCGCTGGTTGTATTGATCTGTTGACCGTCGACGATGGCGGCGAGCCGAATGACACGAGAAATGTAAGGAGAGCGTAACTCTCTCTCTCTCTTTCTCTCTCTTTCTCTCTATATATATATATATCTCTATCTCTCTCTTTCACATCGCTGTTATAAACCATACATTACAAGGCGACGCGAGTATCGCGAGAAAGAGCTATCTCTTAAATCTATAAGATTTGTTCGCACAGCGC